TAGTAGTAGTAAAGTGCCACGAGCGGTTCAAGGGGGGGAGGGGTGGAGGTCCATGTCGTTGCGGTGTGTCCCGCATCTTCGAGCGTGGATATTGGAAGAAATCGAAAACGAGTTGCAAGGCAGGCCGGACGAGTCATTGCTCTGGGCCCTGACCTTTCTGACTGAATTGTGGGCTGACGCATCGCTAGCTGCCATCATTGCTGATTCTTCGTTTATTCTTCCGCCGCTGGCTTTTCGCCGATTCGTCGTTTTTGCTGCAAGGAATTATCCTGGAGAGTTTGCTGCGGCTATCTGATTCTAGAAGATTATGCTGCAGCAGATTTGGTGTGGCCTCTGCACCACTCCCCAGCACAATGGAGCCTCCCCTGAGTATGGAGCACAGCTTGACGATGATCTTCATGGTGCTGAACGGGCGGTCAGGCTGCTGGGGGGCGCAGGCTCGGCCCGGTCCCAAGTCCGGGCAGGGGCCGATCGGTGTTCGCGCTTTTTTCACAACGAGCCCTTGGGCGTGAGGGTTGGTGTGGTGCCTCGTAACCCACCTGGAGCTGCTTCTGACTTAGTGTCGGGGGTGGCGAAGCGTACGGGGGATAATGCTAGCTTAACTGTGGAAGCGCTGTGTGCGCACAAGGCAGACAGAATCAAGAAGCGCTCTCTACGTAGAGCCATTCGTCGAGCGCAAACTCAGGGGAATACTGCCTATCGAGGCAGGAGGCTGGTGGCAACTGTGCCAAGGCTGCCTACGGTTGCCAGTGAGACGCCCAAGCAACATGCCGAGCGTTTTGAGATCTTCTCGTGGAACTGTGGTGGGCTGTCGCAGCTGCTGCTCGAAGAAGTCAAGCTGATGCTGAAAAAGAACAGTGGGATAAAGATCATGATTCTGGTTGAAACGCACCACAGTTATACCAATGAATGGGTCGATGGCGACTGGACTTTTGTGCACAGCCCCGCTGCTTCTCCGAAGCAAGGAGGCATCCTTCTGGGCATTCGGCGTGACTTCTGCTCAAGGGAGACCATGCGCTGGCAGGAGCTCATCCCAGGACGATTGTTACACCTGAGGTGCTTTGCAAAAGACCTTCAGCATCTGGATGTAATTGCTGTGTATCAGCATGCGCTGCCCTTCGGTGCCGACGCGTTGAATGCCTCCCTCGTCAAGCGCAAGGCCATGTGGGGCAAGCTTGACAAGCTCCTTGGCTCTCTACCGGTGCGGTCCTCAGTTGTCTTAGCTGGTGACTTCAACAGCGGACTCAACACTACCGCGGACTTTGCTGGCTTTGGCATCGTTCCCCACTCCCAGCAACCTGCTGTAGTGGCAGAGCGCCAAGAGCTCACGGCCATGCTGCACTCGCATCGCCTGTGCGCGCTGAATACATGGGGACGTAAGGAGCCCACGTATAAGCATCCCTCAGGGCGGTCACAAATCGACTTCATTCTGGTTAGACGAATCCTGGCCGATGGTGCTGCCAAGCGATGTGCAGTATGGCGGACTCCTCTCGCGGGTTGGCGCTCCTCAGGCCATGAGTCCCTGAAGGCATCCATCAGGTTGCACTGGAAGCCGTGGACTCTTCGAGGGCATCGAGCTTCTCCCGCTGCCCTGGGCGGTTCGTGTACCCCGGCAGGCAAGGCTATCCAAGAGCTCCGCAATGATCTTGCACAGAGACCAGATGTACCGGCTGAAAGGGTTGTGAGGCCGGCTTTGATGGGGCTGAACGGGGAGTTGCTACAGTATTGGCAGGCGCAACGGCAGTTGCGCACCCAGAGCAACCGCACCTTCCGGGACATCTTTGCTCGCATGCGGCTCTTCTTGCAACTTCGTCGTAGACATAGAGAGCTTAAGGCAAGGGCTAGATTTCAGAAACGGAGACAGCTGCTGGATATTCTGGAGAGGGCTGAGGGAGCAGCTGCCAAGGGTGATAGCAAATCCTTGTTTCAGTGTGGTCGTCTTCTGGCGCCTCGCGGTGGTGTTCGGTCGCTTCGGCTACGCGATGCTCAAGGGAATCTCATGCATCCCAGCGCCGAGTGTCGCCTGTTGTCGCAGTATGCTGCTGAGCTCTTCAAGGCCAGGCGGGAGCAGGACATTTGTTGCCCTAAGCTTCTGCCCCTGTCGCCTGATCTCTTCACTCCTGCCGCTTGGGCATCTGCGCTGCGCTCTCTGCGCGGTGGTAAGGCGGTCCCAGCTGAGCAGCCTGCCATTGATGTGTGGAAGCGAGAGATCTCAACAGCAGCTCAGGCCCTGAGTCAGATCTCACTTGATTCGCTGTGTGGGGTTGAACCGTATCTTCCAGAAGAGTGGTGTGAGATGCAGTTCGCTTGGCTACCAAAAGCAGGGAAAACTCCCAGCTCGCCAGAAAACCTTAGGAGCATTGGTCTAATGGCTGCTGACACCAAGGGGATGCTTGTCATTTTGCGCGAGGCTGTGAAGCCTGTCGTCGTGCGGTACATGTTTGAGGCCCCGCAGTACGCCTACAGGCCAGGGGCGTCCACGGCCGATGCGCTGCTCAGAGCCTCATTTCACTGCTCCTCGGTTCGTGCTCTTCTCATCTCTGCAAGCATCAGCAGGATCATACATCCAAGATTTTGGGTACTGGGAATGTTGATTTTGTCGGGGGCATGATGATTAGCATTGACCTTCGGAAGGCTTTCGACAGCGTTTCCCATGGCGAGTTGTACCAGTCAATGTTGGAGGCCTCAGTTCCCCAGGACCTCGCTTCCGTACTCCTGCAGATTCATGTGCAAACAAGATGCTCTGTGCTTCACGGGGGCACTTGCGAGCATAATGCTATGAGTCGTGGCCTACGTCAAGGGTGTCCTGTTGCCCCGATCCTGTTTGCTGCGTGGTCGGTGAGGACGCTACGGCTTTTTCGGGAGGCGCTTCCAAGAGGCGTGGACAGGGACTGTTACACCATGTTCGCTGACGATTTGCATGGTTGCTGGGAGTTTCATTCTGCTGCTGATTTTCTCTCTTCTCTCCGGGAAGTTCGTGCGGTTTTCTCTGTGCTTGATGGGCTTGGGATGGCAATCAACTTCCAGAAAAGTGTGGCAGTGCTGCGGCTTCGGGGTGCTGCTGTTGCTCGTGTCTCCAGGCATGTGCTGGTGTGGCGTCCAGACGGGCAGTATCTCAGGGTGCGGTCGGATCCTCATGATTTCTACATCCCAGTTGCCTCGACTATGTCGTATTTGGGAGCGACTCTCTCGTATGATAACTATGAACTGAAGACGTTCCAGAATCGGGCCCATTGTGCACAATTGCGGTTCCAAGAGTTGCGCAAGGTGCTGCGCTCCAACGGGGCGCTTTCTGCGCGGCATCGCCTACAGCTGTACAAGGCCACAGTCTGGCCGTCTTTGTGGTATTCCCTGAGCGCTATTGGAGTCACTGGTGAAGTTCTTCGCGGGGTTACTTCTGTGCTCTCAGGTCATCTTCGCAAGGTTCTTCGCATCTACGAGGGAGGCATTACCAACCAGGCTGTGATTGACCGAGCGGGTATGTGTCCTCAGCGATTCTTTGCAGATCAGGCTGCGCTCAAGGCTGCCAGCATTGCCGCGGACCCTTTTCGGAGCGCGGACCTCAAGCAGCGCGAACTGCAGCGCGCGGAAGCTATTAGCACAGCCATGGTGGCGGTCACTGAGGTTCCCTTGAGCTCGTGTTCTCTGGTGAGGGTCATGTTTGCGGGCTTTACTTTCCCTCCAAAGAAGGGCTCCAGATGCACATTGCACACCAACATGCGGAGATCAATCAATCCGCCAAACTCGCCTTCAACAAGGCGCTGCACTCGCTCTTCGGGCTGCCCTTCTGTCGCTTCTGCAGGCAACGCTTACATGACTGGAACTCCTTGGCTAAACATGTGTCCACGGGGATGTGCTTGCGTATCAAGTCCATGGTTGCTGAGGGTAAGAGGGAGTCAGATATGATTCGGATCCTTGGTGAAGAAGAGCGTCGGAATCCTCCGACTCCACCAGATGGGGCTGTAGAGCAGGTCGCAATCCAGGAGAACGTTGGCCGAGCACTCACCGTTTCCCCGGATCAGCTGGGCTCTCGGGGAGCTGAGCTTCGTGTTCTCTCAAAGCACTGTGCTCTTTGCTATCAATTGGTCAAGGACCCCTCCAAAATCAAGAAGCACTGGCAGGACTCCCACGCGCCAGAGTGGCGTGCTGTGGCAAAGGAAGCCGTCTGTGACGCCAGGAGTCTCCTGGCCACCTTCTCCACACCGTGCTTATTCTGTGGGAGTGTGGCCAAGCAGGCCTCGGATCACTGCGTCAAGTGCTCAGCGTTGTTTCAGCTTCTTGCTCACAGAGTGTTGACTCGGGGTGGATGGCAGGGTCCAGGAGCACAGCGTGGTCAATCCCTAAAACAGTGGCAGGTCCCGGCGGCTTACAAGCAGTTCAAGCCTGAGACGACATCGATTGGGCGCTACCTGACTTTTAAGCGCGGCGAGACACCGCAGGCAAGTGGCAGCAAGCCTGCCGCGGCTTCCCCACCACCGTCGAGGCCGCCGGCTCGATCTGTGGACTCATACACAAGTCTGGCGCGGCTTGGGAGCTCAGGCGCCTCAGTGCACTCCATGGACTCCGCTGGTGTTGACTGGGTCGGCCGGATTGTGTTGACCAACCCTGGTAACCTCTGCTACCTAAACGCTGCTGTTCTTTCTCTTCTGCACTGCTCCAATTTCACGCTGTCCGAGCATCGGGGAGTCCAGACCTTGCGCCGTATTGGTGCCCAGGGGATGTCGGCTGCTCGGGGAGCTGCTTCTTACAGCCCAGCTGCAAGTTCGCTCGATGCTCAGGTTGTGGTCTTTTTTTTGATGGTAGACAGCATGACGTGGCGGAGTTTGCTATGGTGCTTCTCAGGGGTTTGGGCCTTGGTTCTGTGGAATGGGAAGCTCGTCGACAGGAAGATGACGCTGTTCGCGTTCTGCATTCAGGTCCTCTGCCGCTCCTACTACCACCACCCGTGCGGGAGTGCATGCTCCAGGATTGTGTCCAGGCTTGGCATCTCCGTGATTGTGTGCATGCCCTTTGTGCCCCATCGCCTCCAGCACTTCTTCTGCTACAGGTTGCTCGTCATCAGGACGGTTGCAAGAGTTTCGTTCCGGTCTGGCCGGACTCTGAGGTTAGGCTCCCTGTTTTTGGCAGTGGCCTTGATGATGTGGAGTGGATTCGTTACCAGGTCAAGGCAGTTGTGGAGCACCATGGAATGGAGGTCAGCGCTGGACATTACCGCGCTGTTCTCAGGGGCAGCTCGGATTGGATGCACACGGACGATGGCACGGCTGCGAGTGGTGTATCCTTTGATCGTGAACGCGCTAGGATCTCCTATTTGTTTTGGGCAGTGAAGGCTCAAGTGCAGGAGGAAACGGGTGTTGATCCGCCGCAGTGCTCTGCGGCTCCATCTCTTTGATCTGCTATGTCCACGGAGGAGGCGCCGGGTGCGAACATGCTCGATGGTGAGCAGGAGTGGGACTTTTACACCAAGTACTGGCCAAGCGGGCCGGGCATGCCGGCGCCCCCCTCCTCGGAGGGCTCCACAGCGGATCAGTCGGCAGGGATCGAGGAGCGAGAGGCCAAAACTGCGAAGCTCCTGGACTCCAAAGCGGGACAAGGACGTGGCAGCGGCGATGGTAAAGGCTCTGCGGGCACTGGCGGACCGGAGCACGCGGCTCCCAAGAGCGCACCCGGCGCTCACAAGCGCCAACAGCGGGAGGCACCTGCGCAGTGGCGTGGCGGTGGAGGCAATGGTGGTGCGGGTGGTGGCAGCGGAGGCCGAACCGGCTACGGGTTTGGTGGTGGGAGATCGTCGTGGAGCTCGAACTGGCGCGGGGATGACCGCACCGCGGAGGGCGATGAGTGGTCTCTCCGCAAGGAGGTGCAGGATCTCAAGTATGCCGTCTCGCTGATGCAGCGCTTGATTCTTCGCCATGAGGACGCCTCGATTTTGGCGCGCATTGAAAGCAGCTTCGTGCTCCACTTCAAGCTCAACGTGCCGGCTTCCGTGGTGCCAATGCTCTTTACCTCGGCTGTGGCCTGGAGGAAGATCAAGGCCGAAGAACCGCAGCGCCTGGATCGGCCGATGCGCTGCGCTTTGCTAGTTTGTCTCTTTGCAGAGCTGAAGGAACGCATGACCAAGATTGTCCAGGAGCCGGAAAGGATGGAAGAGATGGCCAAACTGGGCTGGTTGGCTGTCGGGCCACCGGTGGTGTGGAACTTCATGCGCTGGGATGCGGCCAAGCAGCAGCAGGTCGTGGACACCTCCATTCCCCTCATCAGCCAGGCGGAGATCTTGGAGTTCGTTGGGCGTTTGGTCGCATTGATTCCGCGGAAATTCACAACGGCGAGATTCCACCCCGCACGACCGATGACGCAGGTGATGACTGGCCAGAACCTCGTCTTCCTGCTCCAGACGGGTCAGCATGGGGAGGCGTCCTCAGAGATGCGAGACATATTGCGGAGGCTCTGCTACTGCTCAGTCATGCACTTGCTTGCGGCGCAGCTCAAGGAGGACAGGCATCCTCGCTCTGCTCTGGCGAATGCCATCGCGGACTACCTGACCAAGTATTCCGGCAATCGCTGAGCTCCGCTGCTCTTGAGCGCTTTACTGATTTTTGGGACTCGCTTGGCAGCTCGCTGCGGAGTCCGCTTGCAGTGGGTGTTATGGTTGTGGTCCCTGGCCATGGAAGTGGTAATAGCCGTGCTTCCTGTTGATTGCCGTGGGCACTTCTTGAGCTATGTTGAGATCTTTTGCGCTGTGCAGTGTTCGATGCAACGCGACATCCCATAGCGCCGATACTGACCTAATTCGCAAGGCCCAGACGCTCGATGTGAGGAAGCCTGCAATATCCACCGCAACAGTGCCTAGAGTTGCTGCTGTCCTTGTTCGCTGCTCCAGTCGGGCCAGCTCTGAGGTGTGCTACGTGGTGCTCATGGATACCGAGGGCGTGATGAGGTCAGAGCCTCGAGGATGTGATACCGCTACCACCAACGAAGGGCATGTGCGCTTGGCCCTGGTCGTTCTAGAGTTGAGAACAGACTTTCACTGCTCCCTTGTCACTCTGTGCTGCACAGCATTTTGTATCGGATCGTTGACATGCCCCCATGGTGCTCGAGGAGTTTGACGGGGTTACTTGGATAGAGGGTGGGTTTTTACCATGGAGGCTACTATTTCCTTGCTTGGCCCTGCCCTGGAGTGCGAAATCTTGGACCTTACTTCGGATGATGAGTCTCCGCCGGAGAGCAGTGTGGAGACTGCGCGCAGCTCAGAGATCCTTGCGCCATTCGTGTCGCAGCCGTCCTATGTTTATCATGGTGTATACTGCGCTGGTGCTCGGGCCCTCATGCCGGTTGAGATGGATCTAAAGTATGAGTTTCTTCAGCGTGACCTGTACTTGGCAAGAGGTGTGCAGGCAGCAACGCTTTCGTATCCCTCTGATGATCCCGCTGAACTCATTGCGTTTTCCATGGTGATCCATGGTCAGGCCAGCTGGCAGCAGCTTTTGCGTATGACTCGTCTGTTGCCCAGGGACAAGAATATGCGCTGGAGCCAAACTGAGGAGTACGCCCAGCAGCCTCACCGGTTCACGACAGGTGCATGGAACCGTGGCCCGATGACCGGCCTGACTCTTACCTCCAGGTCTCATCCGTGGGTGACGTGTGTACTAGCGAGCATCGTTTCCACATGGGATGATGCCTTGAGCTTTAGCACGGTGACTCTTACGCTCAACGTTGCAGCGCAGCCTCATCGAGACAGGTTTAACCATGGTGCTTCGCAGAACTTGGTAATGCCTATGTCCCGTTTCTTGGGTGGAGGATTGTTCGTGGAGGACTCCGATGGGCTCTCGCAGCTTAGTTCGGATGGGCCGCGAGGCCACCTTGTGGAGCTGACAGCGCCGACCGCTTTTTCCCCTCGGTCTTTGCACGCCAGTCTTCCGTGGGTTGGCACTAGGCTGTTGCTGATCGCTTACCATATTGGTCAGGTTCGCAGGGTCTCGGTCGCAAACCTTCGTACTCTCAAGCACTTGGGCTTCATGCTGGGCCATTTTGACTGAGAATGCTGGAGCAAGCTCAACGCAAAAGGCTATCGTCTGTTAGACGTGGCGTGGGACAGGGCGCTACTGTACCGTGGACTGCAGTGTGGAATTCTTTCAAACTGAGGTCATGCGCATGGTTGGTCTGTCCGGCTCCTGGATGGCAGTGCATTTGTGCGATGAGCTGCTACAACTGCTGGCCTCGAGTGGCCTCGAGGTTCACATCAGCCTCTTCTGACATGTGCTTTGAGTCAGCTTTGAGCGCCAATAGTTGAAGGATGCGAGCTGTACTTACTGTACTCTACTCGCTGAGCTCAGGGATCTTCTTGATTCTGTTCCAATGTTCCAATTTTTCCAATTCCTTCGCTTCCACAGTTCTGTAATATTCTTGGTTGCTGCACTTGCTGCTGAGCCACGGCTCGAGCTTCTGCGTGCTTGGCCCCTCGGGGCGGCGCAGGGTGTGGCCTTTGTTTTCGAGGTTATCAAAGATAACGCTGCAATGCAGCCGAGCTCATAAAGCTTGCTCGCTAGCACGCGAGGCGGACCCCGGGATGTTCGTCGCGAATCCAAAGCCAAAGCCAAAGTAGTAGTAGTAG